CACACACACACACACACACACACACACACACACACACACACACACAAGACATTTCCAATCAGGATACAGTATGTATACAGCAAATGCTCTCATCCAGGTTACCAGATTCAGAAAAAGAAAATCAATGTCCCATAATTAATCTGGTGTGATGTTCACCCACAGCCGATCTCGTTCAAACCTTCCGCCTCGACAGTACAGCGCACGACTTGGTTTTCCAGTGTCATTAATGCTGTTCAACGTACGCCTCCCTATTCAACTTCAAAATCTGCTCTGCATCCAAATAGTAGCGCGCACATCTAACTAGCGGGCCGAGCTCAGCTGGTACACCCACAAACTGCCGATATACAGACCGAAGTTCAGATCCCAGCGCAATCAGATGAACAGAGAAAAAAGAAGTGTGAATCTATGTTGTTGCTCAGTATCCTTCAGCATCTTCTCTGCATCCAAGCAGCAGTGTGCATCTAGGCTGCTCGGCGTGCTACTCTAGCGAAACATTACTGCAAATGAATCAGGGACCTCTAGTTGACTTCTAAGTTTGAACCCAGGAGAGTAGCAGTGCCCAGAATGCCATACCCTCTTTGATCCGAATGTTAGATATACAATCAGACTGTAACACATTCACAGTGGAACCCACAAATGGCAGACAGACTAAGACAGAAAAAGAATCTCAATCATGCGGCCTTCAACTTAGCGATCCCCAAAGAAACAGGCCAAAAAAAAACCGAAAAGAATGGCATTGCAGTTCCTCGAAAAGGGAAATGACAACATCCTCCAACACGCATAAAAGTGTTACCAATCATTCGCGTTGAATTTGCCTAGCTGTTAGGTCGGGCTGACTTTTTATATCCCGGCCCATGACGTTATAGGTTTCTGGGTTGGTTTCTGTGTTGGCTTTGTGTCGGTTTTGTTTCGGTTTCTCTGTCGCATTGTCCGTTGCCTCCTCCTTTGCTAGGATCAACACTCATCATGTTGTATGCATCCAATGCCATCAGAATTGCCCTGGTCTTTAGAAGCATCTCCATGTACTCGTTGTGCGAGTCCGACAATGCAACTACCGCTCCTCCTGCGCCGATGCTCATACGGTTGTTATGTACAACAGCGGTTCTGATGACAATATTCAGATCAAACGTTCCGTTGATACTGAAAAAGCCAATCGAACCAGAGTATACCCCCCTTGCTCTGCCTTCAATGGCGTCGAGTATCTGAATTGTCCGCAGCTTCGGCGCTCCCGTCATAGAACCACCCGGAAATGCCGCACGGACGCAATCCATCGGGGCAATTTCGCTGCGCACCTTTCCTCTAATGGTGCTCACTAACTGATGAACTGTTGCGTACGTTTCCACGTCCATGAAGATCGGGACATGCACCGATCCCAGATCGCATACTCTTCCCAGATCATTGCGCAGCAGATCTACAATCATTAGGTTCTCAGCGCTGTCCTTCTCACTGCACATCAGTGTCTGCTTCCGCAACTCATCTTCTGCCTCGTTCGTGCCTCTCGGCACTGTCCCCTTGATTGGTTTTGCCTCAAGAGTTCTATCTTTATCGAGCCGGAGAAATCTCTCTGGCGATGAGCAACAGATGGACAGGCTATCGCTGCTGAAGTTCAGCCACGCGGCGTACGGTGCGGGATTCTTCTCGCGGAGGATTCGGTAGAAAGAGAGAGGGTTTGCCGGCGCACGATCAGAGATGAGAGAGGTGGTGAGACACACCTCATACGACTCCCCGCTGTAAATCGCCTCCAAGCAATGTTTCACATCTTCCACGTATGATTCCTGGGACTTCACTGCCCGGAACGACTCAGATAACTTGCAATTCTGACCAGGCAAATCTTGGGCTACCACCGCTCTCCCCTGAGCATCATTCGAAACACCGTTCATTGCCGGAGTGTCGGAAACTTCTTCTCTCATCTGCTTGTCATGAAAAGGCATCCTCCTATTCCCCTCCACCTGGGCAGCTGCTAGCTGTTCAATTCTCCTCAAAGTTTCTTCCACCCATACGAGTGCACTCTCCTTCGTTGAAGATGACAACTTTCCCTCTTTCTCTCCCATAGCCGCTTCTTCACCGATGAACCCAGTGGAAGTGGTCTTCCTTGCTGACCTATCTGGTGCTGCTGCTTTCAAAGATAATGACCCGTTCTCTTCCATCTCTTTCGGGTCCCCATCTCTTTGGCCACGTCCATCAGAAGTGACTTCCTGAGAGCGTGAAATGTGCACGAGGGGAGATGACCTCTTCTCGTCCCTTCCCACATGACCCTCTCCACTTGTCAATGGATTGGAACCAACCTCTTGTGAGCACGCGCAGCCACTGGATCGTGCCGAGGAGAGCCCTTCCTCTCCCTGCTCCGTGTCAACCTCGTCGCCTACACGTCCATTCGAAGTGACGGCACTCTGCAACCTGTCACAGCCATTGGATTGCAATGGTGGTATGGACGTACTCCCACGGTTGCTGATTGATGTCGTTGCCTGCTGCAGTTCGGCAGGCGTGCCCATTCCCGTGGCTTGGTCGTATTGAGGTTTTCCATTGCCACTCTCTCGTCTATTCTCGTGCTCCTGATCCGTGTAGAGACACACAGCATACACGTCCCCGTCTCGGTGATCTATCGCTACGAAACGATCCGCCAAGAAGAATGCAGCATCAGGCGTCTCTGACGGATTGCTGCCTGAAAGCGCACCACATTCTGCTTTCATTTCGTACCCGAGATAACCGACAAACCCTCCGACGAATGAGAATGGGAGGCCGTCAGCATCTTCCTTGTGAAGCAGCTTCAATGCCTCAAGCGCCTGTTCAAGTTGATGGAGAAGTCCCTGTGAGCATAGGCACTGCTGTGAGCGGCCTAAGCTATCGGACACTGTCAAAACCCCTCTTGCGTCTGACCCGTGAGGATCTGGGAGGGAGTAGGTGATTTGCCTCCACATGGGACCACCTGGTCCCCCCATGAAAGAGAACCGTGCCCGTCTCTCACACGTAATCGCGCTATCAAGCCAGAATGCATCTTTACCTGATGTTCTGCCAAACAGCTCCATAAAGATTGCCTCGGAGCCGCCAGCTCTTTCCAGCACATTGGACGCCTTTGCCCAAACAAGTCGACAAGCACCAGCCAGGTGTGCAACAACAGGAGAGCTGGTAGCCTGGCTCGTTTGATCTGTGTCGGTGTAATCAGTGCCTGAACAAAGAGATACCTTTGGTGACGGATGAGCACCGCTATTGCCATTGTTGTGCGACAAAATGTGGTCCCAGAAATCCCGCGGCTGCGCAGACGGAGTCGCAACGACAAAGTTTTGTGGTGAGTTCGAGGGATCATCACTTACCGTTGACTTTCTCTCTCTCTTGGATTCCAATGCCACCTGCGTCCCCTGTCCTGCAGGGTCAGGCTGTTTGGGGTCAACAGCTTCTCGTTGATTCTTCCCTAGTCTCTCCGCATTTGGACGCCCAACTCCATCTTTCACTGCTCCTCTGCTTTCGGTGAAATTGGAGGTATCTTCGTTCTCTGCTGTCTGGAGATCCACCCCTTCTTGAAGCGGAAGTGGGATATGGTGTTTGTTTCTCTTCAAGACGGATGTGATATCCGAAGCCCGACCGCCCGGCAAATCTTTCCCATTTCCCAAACTACTCCTCTCTGGACGCCTCTCTCTGGAGTCGAGCACAGGTGCATTCCCCCTAGCTGTGCTGCTGCTAGGAGGAACGCATCTGGACATAAATTTGGTGCTCAGGTTGGCATTTCTGCCATTGCTGCCACCTCTTGCCCTCTCAACCCACCCCTCGACTCCGAGACGATTCTGCCAGAATTCCACAGTAAGGTCGTGGAAATTCCGTAGGATTGTGTTGCCATACGCCGTTGATATGCTCTCTGGATGGAACTGGACTCCGTGATGAGGGCGAGTTTTATGAGAGACTGCCATCAAGATACGCCCACTGTCCAACACCGTCCCGATTCCCACACCCCTTGACTTGCAAGCATCATCAAGTCGAGGAGGACAGTCTTGACCCTGAAGAGTTTGCACGTCCATCGCATCGTCTCTGCGTGGAGCGTTCCCGCTCCCGTTCTCCCATCTGCCAGGCAAACATCGACCATCACATTCACTCCTGCTCGGCGGATCATCACTGAGGTAGTGATCATAACAGCTGGCATTCCCAGTGGGCAAATCACGAAGAGATTGACTGCACTCACCATTGCTCCGTCCTGCATCACGATCATATGTGGGCAGCACTTTACCCTCGGTTCGTCCGTCAAGTTCACAATGTTTGCCTGCCAAGGACTTCCTTTCGCTTGACAATGAATCGTTCACAATCATGCCCTTCCCACCATCTCCACGTGTTCCAGCGGAGGACGAAAAAGCGCTTTTTGAAGACGATGACACAGTCCATGCGGTGGCAAGAAGGTCATCAGGCAAGGTCGACTCATCGATGACGAGAGAGTGGTACCTAACAACCTTGAATTCCGATCCTGGGCCACTCGGAATTCCCCGGAAAAGAGGATGATGTTCCACGTGCTCGAGCTCGCTTAGACGGCCATGCACAGGCTCTGGTGCACGGACCACGCTTGCACCGTGAACAAACCCAAGGGCCTGATGACCCAGACACACTCCAAGTATGGGCATATCTTCCAGCTCTTCCAATATCGTTGAACATATTCCGATATCTGACGGCCTTGAGGGTGTCCCGGGCCCGGGGGATATAACAATGTTGTCAAATCTGTGCTGATCTACGAGCTTTCTGAGTTCCTTGGACGTTATTTCGTCGTTGCGAACCACCAGCGGTGCCTCTCCGTTCAGGGCTCCTAACATCTGATACAAGTTGTAGGTATAACTATCATAATTATCTATCAACAGGGTACGAACAGGTTGCTGCAAAACTTCGCCGATGTCCCTTTCCCCTGCGACAGGGGTCCGAGCTTCCCCTTCCTGCGCCCCCTCGCCCTCGGCATAGGACGGCAACGTCGGCAAATACAACGCACGAGAAGGCTGCTGCTGGGCGCCACGTGGACCGCCATCTGCACCGTCATCTGCAGTCTGCAAAGTGTGCCCTCGCGAGCACGTATTGTGATATCCATCATAGCCACAACAAACACAGAGGGGCGAATGTTGCGTGCCTGTAACTCTCGCAACCTCCGTTCTACGGGCTTCTATTGCTCCGAAAAGAAATCGGTTCTCGGGTGCAATCCATTTGCCAAAGGAGGAATTTCTGCTGGCTTTTGTGGTTCGTTCATCCGTACGAGATCTACACAGAATACCCGAACTTTCAAGTTCAGAAAAGCTGCACGTTCGTGAATCGATAGCGATCCATTGCTCGTCAACGGGGCTTCTACACCTGGGCTTGGAAGGTAGTCCTGGCCATATGAGGCCCTGGGAAGGCAAACCACAGCAGATAAGATCTAATTTGCAGCCAAGCAGTCCATTTGTTGAAATCACCATGGCCACGCTCTCTTTTTCCTTTTTTTTCACGCTCTCAGGTATTCACGAACGGCAAGAACTGGAGGCTGGACTCAAAAAGCGAAAATTATGGGTCGCTAATATTACGGAAAGCGCACAGCAACTGTCCACAAACGGAACGGTGGGTTGATTCGCTCTTCCTGGAAATCCGAAGAAGCTTCCCCTCAGCGACAGACGACACGGGTTGTCGGGGAAGAAGCATCCCTCCAGCGACAGACACCCAGCGTTGTCGGGAACATTCCAAAATTTCATAACTAAAAATCTGACAGCTACATGGGTCAGAAAATTAACTGCTGTAAGAGATTACCCCGTCACATTGCCTGCAACAATGGAGGCACTATACACAACAAGGAAGAGATCCAGTCCGCACCAGCGAGCTCACCTCTAGAGAGGCGTCAGACCAACTCAACAAGATTTTTCCATACTGATGCCACTGCAAAAGGCAGTGGAAAAATCCATCAAAAGATAGATCACACATCCTGTACAGCAAAATGCACTCCAGAGAGACTCCAACTGCTGCTACATTCTGAAGAGTTGTGAAAAGACAAATCATCAATGTCGCCGAGAAGTCGAAAGCCAGATATTGACTGAGATGCAGCCGTCGGCCCAGGCAGGGCACGCCCCACTGGATTGCATTTGCACTGGCACCTGCGCAAGCAGAGTCCAGAGGGAAAAAAAGTTAAAAAACAGACAAAAACTGGGAAATTGGATTGAAATTTGAAAGGTATTGCAAGCAACGACTGAAAGCTGTTCTCTCATGATAAGCACTAAGCATAAGCACACCACCCCCCCCCCCACACACACACACACAAACACCACCTCCGTTATCGGAACATAGCCTTACCAGACGGACCCTTCCTTGTTGCGATGGCTGCAGGAAACGACAGACA